ATATATATATATATATATTAGAATATGTGTATAATGAAAAATATTTTAGTTTTAGTTTTTGGAAAAGCTTATATATAAACCACTTGTTCTTAACTTTTTAATTTGTGCTTTTTAAAAAAAATAATTTCTCACTAAATTATTATGAAATTAATCTCTCAATGACCAAGTGTTAATTAATGCATTAATGTTATTTTTTTTTAAATACATAGTTTTTGAGATTATAATATTACATGTTTTGTCCAAAAACAATTACATGATTAAGAAATTCAAATCCTTTCTATTCAAATCAACACGTTGATATTCTCAACTAAGAGATAAGTGAGTTTCTTAAGCACAACGATGAAAATTGGATTTCTAATAACTGTGAATACAAAAAATATTAGAAAAATAAATTTATTTTAATATTTTTATGTAAAAAAAATTAATTTAAAATTCATGATTGGTCAATTGCATGTTAAAAAATCCAACAATTAAATTTTATATAAAAATTAGACTTAAATATGTTTTAAATTTTGTTTTTATGCCATCAAATTTAAAATTTTTTATTTTGTTTATTTTAAAAAAACCTTATTTTACTTAATTGTTAGTGAATATGTTAAACAAAACTCATCTATTATACTAAAAAAGAATTGATACTCAAATAATAAAGTTGTGTTTGTTTATCTCTCCATCATGACATTGATTATTATTAACGATAGAGAGATAGACACAAAAATGATATTATATAAATTATTATCGCTTCATTTCAAAACTTTGGTTCTTTTAGTTTTTAAGATTAATAGTTATACACTAACTATGTAAAATAAGTTTACAATGTCAACAAGTTAAATATTGTTCTTGATTTTTATACTTATTTATTATACAATTCATCAACCGATCATAAATGATAATTTACTATTGGATGATGCATGATAATATAAAATTATTTACAAATTCAATTTATCAATTATTTTTTCTTAGAGGATGTTTGATACACAATAAATTTTTTTATGCATAAAAATCATGATTTATGAAAATTATAAATCTTGAAAATCATGATTCCTAGAAATCATGAAAATCTTTTTGATTGATTATAAATATTTCTGAGAATATTTTTAAATGTTACTTAATTTTTTTTACTACATTAAATAAAAAATAAAGGTAATATAACGTTTTTAACATATTAAATCTTGAAATGTTATTTTTTAAATAACAAAATAAAATAGAGAAACTAACTTACTGGACATTAGATTCCAGAAAAGTAAAAAATTTTGATGTACCAATTTTTTTATTTATAATTTTGTTTCAATATTTTAGTTATTTTAGAATTCTAATTAATACATAATTTTGTAATTTTTCTCAATTATATATTCTTATATATATTTGAGTAATTAAGACTAGTTTAAATACAACATTAATATTATTTTTTTAGTGAAGTAATAAGAAAGTGTACGTTAGTTAAAGTGTATGTACGTTAAATATTTTTTAATTTGTATAATGAAATAAATGAAGTATAAGAATTTTTTTATGTGTGTCATTATTGAATGAGTAGTTATATTGATTTTTTCATACAAAAATTATATATTAACATTTTAATTAGTAAAAATATCCTATTAAACCTAATTATTCTACATCTAAATCAATTTGTTTTCTCTTGATTATTATATGTAGTCCTGATATATTAAAGTGTATATAAGTGAGTAAAATATTTATTTTAATTTAAGATATTAAAAATAAATCTCCTTTAAATGTAAGAGATTAAATCATATTTTAACTAAAAAATAATAATATTTTAACTAGAAAACAAATTTGGAGTTTCATTTTTTACTCTTTTACACACACGTGTCACAATCTTTGGGCCACATAGCCTTTGACTTGAACGACTATAGTCAGAAACAAGCGCCTCTTGATATACGTTTTCCTGAGAAAACCTCTCTTTGATTTCCTATGCGCCTTTTAGGGTATTAATTATAATAAACTTGTACGACTAATTAATATCCCTTTATTTCTTTATTTGACCTTTCTATATATCTTGACCTTTTTCTCTCCAAACATTTCATCAGATCCTTTGTTGCTTCTGTCTTCCTTTTCATGTGTGTCTCCTTCACTTTACCTTTTTTGATACAGATCCTCTCTTCTTCTTCATTTTTTCACTCCCTTCATTATTTTCTAGGTGTCTTCAATGGCGGTTTTACCAAGTAGCATCTCCAGCTTGGAATTGACCATATCTGTCCCTGGCTTTGGTTCTTCGTCAACTTTTGTTCCTTCACCATCTGGTAATTATAAGCACCACATATATATAAAGACAAGTTTCTTTCTTTATTTGTTTGTTATGGTTTTCTACGATTGTCTTCCAATTTTCTTCATCTTTGTTATTTTGATCGACCCTTTATACCCTCTTATAGTTGAATTCCATCCTTTTATATGCGTGTTCTTGTTGTTTAATTTTATGGTAAATTATTTTATTTTTATTTACTTCTAGAGTTGTTTCTATCATATAAGTGGCCCCTCTGTAAAATATAGGTTTTCTTTAGGAAGGGATAATTTATTTATTTTTGTTACCCTTTCTTAGATTAAAATTTAAGTCAGGACCGCATGAACCCACCAGGGTTTTGTCTTTCATCTCTCTCTGGTTGGTGATTAAGCAGAAATAATATCTATAAACATCATGTTTCCAATCTTATCCTTAAATGATGTATGTATTGGATCATGTACTGAAGATCATTATATATATATGTTTGTTTGGTCTCTAAGTTTTTTTTTTATTTCTTATTTTTAATTTACATATATATAAATATAAGTCACTGTTTGGTATTGCAGTGAAAGAATTGGACATCAACCAAGTACCTCTGGAAGAAGATTGGATGGCACCAAACGTGGAGGACGAAGATGAAAGCAGCAATGGAGACCCTCCTCGCAAGAAACTCCGTCTCACAAAGGACCAGTCTCGTCTCCTTGAAGAAAACTTCAAACAAAACCACACTTTGAACCCAGTAACCCCCTCTCTCTTATTTAGCATGCATTTTTATCATTTTCTTTTATAAAAGCCATTTATATATATCATTTAATTAACATGATCATTTATGACAGATGCTAGCTAAATTAATATACTTTTAGTGTACAAACATATGAATTGCAACATCTTATTAATATTTTTCTTTTTTTTTGCTTTGTATGATAAATTTCGAATGTTATATGCTTTTGAAAGTATTAAATTGAATTTACTTTCTCATTTGATATTTTTCTTTTATAAAATAGTAAAAATATTTATAAGAAGATTTGGTGAAGGATATATATATGATTACCGTTCTTGTTTTCTGGGATCTGTAGAAGCAGAAAGAGACTTTGGCAATGAAGCTGAAGCTGCGACCAAGGCAAGTGGAGGTGTGGTTTCAGAACCGTAGGGCCAGGTATGGCTAATCCTAATTAATAAAGTGATGAATGTTATTTGTTTTTGTCATTTATGACTTCACTTTAAATATATATAATTTCATCTTTACCCGCATTTTCTGTGGGTATACATATATATACAGACAAATGTCAAATGTTGACAGAATAATGATAATTATGATATAGACCTCATGAATATGAATCCGATTCTATACCCCTTATTCATCGATCCGTACTATTTATAAATAAAAGTGGAAAGCGATCATTTTAAAGTTGCACTTCCTTCAAATAATTCCTCTCATTAATAAGAGATATAGGTCATACGATATGAATGAAATCTGGGTGTTGTCCATGTACATAGCTCAAATAGTTGGATCAAGTTGAAGCCATTGCTTTTTTTAAAACTCAAGAAGAGTGTGAAAAGAAAAATAAATATACCTATAATTTATATTTTTTAAAATCAAGCTAGTCAAGCATGATTGGGAAAAAAAATCCTAGTTTATAATGCACAATGATAGACATGTATACTTTTTTATTATTTAGAACAAATATTACTTTTCTCAAAGGTCTTCCCTCAAAACTTTATTTTTAAGCTGGTTAAACACACACTTGATACAAACGTGTATGTTCTACTTATTTATAATATATTTGATTTGTTATTTGAAAACCCTCAATTTTTAATTTAATTAGGGGAAACTCTATTTTTCCTATGTATTTTAAGTTTCAAACGTGACGAATAACTAATCACACTATTAACTAATACAAGTTAGAAAACGTAATTGAAAGTTAAAATAATAATAATAATAATAATAATAGTTATGATTATTATTATTATTGTTATTATTATATTAGGTCATGAGGACATAGCGATGACATGAGACTAGCTGGCTGTACCAACATAAGAGCAGTAAAATGATGTAATTCCAGTGTTAAACAATAATTTAAGCTGTGTGCAAAGAACACAATCATTGTTGTCCAAATTAAAGTAGACAACTCGATAATGATAGCACCGTATTGGTGGAGTTTTATTTGGCCTCGTGTGCTACACTGATCATCACTCCAATAAGTGCAACTTTGACCACTTGTTTTGGTACTTTAGACCAACCATGCATTTGATTTTACAAATCAATTATTAGTGTTAAGCATCAAGTATTTAGTTATAAACACGTATCCATATAAAATCATAGGGGTTTTCACTTATTCCCAATAATAAAATTTTCATTTCATAATAATCATCTTTGTCCCTTAAATTTTATGCATATTTACTTGGATAATATCTATCTGCCATATTGCTGTTAGGGGGTGTTTGGAATAGTTAATGGGAAACTTGTGAAAAATGCTTGTTTATAACGGTTAACTATAAGAATTTTCTAATAATTCTTTTATCCGTCAATTAAAATAAGTTTTCTAAATTTATGTCAATAAGCTTCATGATTAAATTTATATAATAATAAATTCTCATATAAAAATAGTGTATTATAAACACTTAAGTCACTTAGCTAAAATTGTAATAGGGAAACAAACGTATTTCATGTTTTCTCTTCTCATAAGAATTACCGTCCTATAAATTATCTTATATAATGAACTTTAATTTAAATAGATATAAATGAAGTAAGTATTTATCTAATAATTTTAAAATTTTATCCATAAATGTAAAATTTACAAAACTTATTGAATTAACATTTTATACAAAATTTTCTAAAAAAAACATTAGAAGTCTTAAAGCAACTTTCACAAATACAAATACATTTTTTCAAAACTCTTCTAAACATGTTATGAGTTACCTTAAGCAAATTATAAGAAGTCTATAACCTCTAAACCCTTTTATTACACTATTCCTAGACCTCCTAATATTTTTAGGACATTATTGTATTGATGACTATATATTAATTAATTTTTTATTTATTTATAATTGAACTGTTTAATTAGTTTTGTAGCTATATTTTCTATACATTTTACAACCTCACATAAATAAAACAACCATTGCATGTCGTCTCTCACTGATAGAGAAACTATATATATATATAGAGAGATGAAAAACAAAGTATCTACATGTTTGGTTCTAGGTTTAGGAATAGGATGTGTTTTTTTACAAATAATCATACCTTTGACATTGTTTCTTTTTCTTTCCAAACATGCTACATATGATTCATTGTGTCACCCATGCAATATTAGAATGTGACTAATGCTGATAACGTACAATGTAGGAGCAAGCTGAAGCAGACAGAGATGGAGTGCGAGTACCTGAAGAGGTGGTTCGGAACACTGACGGAGCAGAACCGAAGGCTTCAGAAGGAAGTTGAGGAACTGAGGGCAATGAAGGTGGGTCCACCAACCGTTATATCGCCTCACTACTCATACCCTCTTCCAGCTTCAACCCTAACCATGTGTCCGCGCTGTGAGCGCGTCACTACCACCACTGTTGTCGCTACCACCACCATTGCAGACACTGTCCTGCCGTCTGCGACTTGTTGACCCCGTGGCTCCTATTCTCCCGCACGCCAACTTATCTAATCAGATACAGTGCGGGAACTAATAAACCTAAAGTTAGGAAACTAAAGCAAGTGAAAATATATATTAGACAAATTAGTTAATATGGTTTTATTTATAGTCTTTACAAACAAAATGGGTCATTTTGGAGACCCTGGGGAACCTTTATTAGTTCTTTAGTTTAGTATTATTATTATTATTATTATTATTATTATTAGTATTTCTTTTCAATGATCCATAGGTGCATATTTGTTTGATAAATTGTGTTGCGTTTTCTCTTTTACCTTTCTCTTACACCGACTAGCTTCGCAGATCTCATGCAGCATTTGTGAGGAAAAGCTTATATGTAAATATTCACAACTTAAAAAAATTGAAATGAAGCCCAATTAATTTATTAGATTAAATTTTAATTTTTTTTAAAATGTTGGTCTTTGATAATGAGTCAGTTTATTTAAAATTAAAAATGTGATTTTACAAAAGGAAAAACATTTTTTTTTAAATAACTTAGATAAACACATAAAATTGAAAAAATAAAAGCTTATTTTTATTAAAAAAATTGCTTTTAAAGAAAAAAATTCCAAAATTGGCCCAAGTAATAATAAAGATATATATATTTTTTTAATAGAATGCACATGTACAATAAATGTTACATATAGTGACATACAAAAAGTGTCACTATAAGTATATTATATGTAAGTATATATCTATTTGGTATATAGCTACACACAATTTTAGTGTTGATTTTGAATGAGATTTAACAACATATTTTGTGTGTCACTATAACTTATACCTACATTTTTTAACAATATACTAACATATATTATATTTATTATGTAGGTAAAAGTAGTTTTTAGCGACACTTATTGTGTCACTATAGGATGTACGTCACTATACAGCAATTTCCTTGTAGAGATGTATCCTTTGTAAAAGATATTTATGTTGTATGTACCAAAAAAAAAAGATATTTATGTGGTCGAGTGGAAATTAATACTATTTTTTTTGCTTATGGTCAAGTTTTTTTTTGGTGCACTGGAAAATTAAAAGAAACTACAATCAGGGAAGACCCCCTTGTGTAAAAGCTTGGGGATTAGTCCTTGGGGATAACTCATTTATAAGTCCCAGTCTCGCCCATTGTGTGCATGGAATGTATCTTGCGCGACTTAGCTATCCTGACGAGACCCTAGTAGTATGTCCTTCTAGTGAGAGTGCACAGAGGGTGTGACTCGACATGTACTCCTAGACTACTCTTGTGTATTGCTAGCGGCAATACAACATGTGATATGTGTTACTGGTGCCGCATGCATGATAATATGTAGTCCGTGTCCATTACATGTGCATTTTAATGTTATATGTTAAAGTGATTTTTATGCCTTTGATGAGTGGAATGTGATATTGTTGTTAATTTATCTATGCTATGTACATATACATGTCCCGTTTGTTTTTGGCTATCCGGTGTGTATTCCTACACCGTGAGCCAAAGTGAGATGTTTCTCACTCCCTTTTCTTTTGTGTTGTTTTCCTTGATTGTTATACAGGTAATTATCAACATGAGGTTGAGGATGTCGGTGATGAAGCTTAGGCTTCAATGTTGGGCTATGCTCTGATAGGACAAGTGAAATCGGGGCATAGATAAGATTAGATTAGGATATTATTCTTATTAAATTATTATGGAAAACTCAGTTTTATTTCTTTGTATTTCCACTGACATGTTATTTGGATTAAATTTATGAATGTGAACTCTTTACCCTTATGTGGTTGAAAATTTGGTTTTTAATGATGAAAAATTTTATTTTTTTATAATTGTTGTATATGTATGTTGGGGTAGGGTGTCATAGAATGTCTTTATAGGATAAATATTAATATATCTCATTTATTAATTACATATATCGATAATGCATATGTGAGTATGATCATTTGAACTGACTCAATTGAGAATTTCTAATGGTTTACATTACCTTAATTCGTCAATAGAAATTTTTCAAGGAGAAACTAAATGTTTTTCTTTGACCTAAGATTATCATAGTGATTAATAAGTAATTTATTATATTTTAATTTCAGACACCTAATGCCTTAGGGTACTAGTTGAATGAATATTGGATATGATCAAATGCTTGTAGAATTAATGATAAATCAAGAAGGAATCCATCAACTCTTGGTAATGAGTTTGAACTCTATTAATAAAATAATATCCTGATCAGGAAAATTGATTGAATCAGTTGTGATTGGTTAACTTAATGGAGTTTGACGATAATACCATACTCCAGAGTAAACTAAGAGCTGTAATGATGGAAGAAAAATATTATATGTTCTTCTAAGTTCTTGAAAGTAAAATATTACTTCATACTATATGGACATTAAGGAGTATTACTAGATGCCTACCTTGATTAATATATTAATTTGATTAACTTATTACTAACTTAATTAGTATTGAACTTACAGGGTCACACACAAACGAGTGTTCTAATCTCTGTTAAAGGAATTATTTTAATATTTGATGATTAAATAAGAGTATTTAATTTTATCAAATTAAATAATTTAAAGTGAAATATTATTATATTCTTTGCTAGCACTTAGAGTATACATAATATAAATTTTTGAAATATTTTTGAATTTCAAATTGGAGAAAGTAGTTTATAAAGAATATATGATTAAAGTATTACACTTGATCAGTATTGTTTATACTGATAAATAAGAGGAGAGATGAAAATCTTATTTGATATTGTTTTTATTTAAAAAATAAAATAAAATATGAATCTTTATAAAAAAAAGGATGTAATTCCTTAAAGATACATATTTGATATTATTTTTATTTAAAAAATAAAATAAAATATGAAGCTTTATAAAAAAGGATGCAATCTCTTAAAGATACATATTTGATATTATTTTTATTTGAAAAACAAAATAAAATATGTTACTAGTTTCCTAATTTTAGGAAAAGAAAATCTTTAGTGTTATAAGTATGAATTTCTATTGCACATAAATAAGATGTGTTTTTCTACTATTTCTTTTATCTCTTTTTCACATATAATTCTTAAGCATTTTATTTTTTTTATCTCACTTTTTCAAAGAGTTTGAAAAATAGAGGTTGGTCTCGGTGTGGATACATGTAAGATCTTCACATTATTGAAAAGAAGCTAATAGTCTAATAGAGGACAAACTTGAAGTACTCTTCTCATTGATAAGGAGAAATTTCATGATTCAACAGCTCGCTAACATATATGTTTAAAAGTTTTCATCACAAACTTAATATAATTTATATGCAAATAGATCATATTAATTCACATGTATGTGTTATGAACATTGTATTATCTCACAATAACCGCTCATATCGACCTTCTGCAAGAAATTTCTCAAGGAGTTCAGGTAAAACATTTGGTCACTCCAACTTAGCATACTAACAATCATGTAGCATATGTAGTGCAATTTTTGGGGATTTCTAACACAAAGGACATGTATCAACTTCACTCAGGCCCCTGGTTGCTCTAAATCCATTTTTCATAATGCCATCATGGGCACCTTCCAAAGGAAGCAACTCTCTTTTAGGTGCAACTCTTTCTTCCAAATTAATTTCTAGAAGGATCGGTTTGACACATTCTCCACTCCTTTAAAAAAAAAAGCTATAGTTTGTCTTGGTAGAGACACAACCATCTGGTGTTAGAGACCAAATGAATATATATTTTCTCAATGTTTCATTTGGTGATACTAGGACCAAAATCTCATTAATAAAAATCATGGAGTTTAGTATGACACTGACTCTAAATTCCATAATCCATCCATTGTTACATATGCAAAAATAGTATTATTGGTTTCCTTAGCAAAATAAATGTTGAGGCACAAACTCAATGAGCAAAAGTTATGCCATCCTGTGGTATGACACCTTCACTTATTGATATCCTCTCCCCACACAAAACTTATGTTCATGTACTCTAACTTCTCACAAAGATGTTTACTAGGTAACTGATAAGTGCTATGATTTCATTAAGTTTATGGTCTAGTTTGAAGCACTTATATAAATTTTCCTTGCTTTAGACCTTGTTTTTAACTCAAAACATATTTAAATTATTAGGTGATCATATTTTGTCTTTGAATCATGTTTTTAGGTAACTTACAAGTATTTGGTTGTTGTTTTGTAGTTTTGGAGAAAGTTAGGAAATAAGGAAGGAAGTCAAGCACAAAGTGGTGAATTTGAAGTTGAAGAAATTTGTGGTTAAGTCCCCAGGCTGAGCCCTAGATCTAGGCTTAGCCTCAGCTTGGCAGAGAGTCCCTGGAACAAAAATTCAATCCTCACTGAGCGTGGAACTAAGGTTGAGCGTGGGAGTCCTAGAACCTCATTTCACTCCAGACCTATCCTCAAGCTTAGCGTGGCTTCTCACGCTTAGCGTCGATTGTGCTGACATGTCATTATTCACATAAGACAAAAGCTTTTATGACCTAAAAGTGGGATTTTCGAGGATAGAAGCAAGGAGGATCATTCTTGAAGTTTGTGTGGCGGCTGAAGAGCTCTGGAACCTTCAAGATCAAGCTTCTTCCTTTCTTCATCATTTGTAGAGTTCTACATGTTTATGTGTAGCTAAACTCACCCTTGTTGGGGTTTGATGTAACTAAACCCATTCTCATGTGTAAACTCTAAGTGATCAATGTTAGTTATTATTCAGTTTTATTGCTCTGTTTCTGTGCATAATGCTTGTTATGACTTGATCACTCTTAACTTGAACTTGAGGTTTTTAAGAGATTGAGAAATGATTTAAACCTTTGAAATGGAATAGAGCAGCTAATGGTGCTTATTGCTAGAAATAGAATAAATGTTGTTGGTCTTTCTTAAGCTCTTGTTTTTAAAGCTGGTTTCTTGGTTAAACTATGCAAGAGATTGATAGTTTAAGTTAGCAACTTAGATGCCAACTTGTAAGAGATTAGGGTTGGTTACTTTTGAGAATGATTGATAAATTCTGAATAATAACTATTGTGAACTTAGTGATAAGCATGAGAGGAAGGTTTAGTGAAGTCAAACCCCAACAATTTATTAATATTGCATTAGAATCAAGTTTTGCACTCTAAGTGTTTACCAAAATACCAAAAAGAATTGTTATTCCTTGTTTACATTATTTACTATAGCAAATCAAACTCTTATTGCTTTTTGGTAGCTTAGTTAGTATAACAAGTGAAATTGCAAAGTGTTGCGCAAGTCCCTTGGGAGACGATACTCATACTTTCATTGAACTACTTATACGATTTGG